GCAGCCAGGCTCCAGTCCTTCTGGTCACACAGGTGAATTGCCTTCATCTGTGCTCCCAAGGCTGACTGGGTCCTTTCCCCAGGTGCTCAATCAAAGGTTCAGGCCGTGACTCAACAGTTCCCATACATTCACTATAAGATCAGTGTGACATCTGGTGGTGGACTATATGGGACTGATGAAACGTGAGCAGAACCTTCCCTGGTCCAACCAATTATGTACCTCCAAGGGAACCATCAAGTACTGACCCATGAAGGAGCATGATCTTCAACTATGAACCAATCATCAATTGTCTCATCATCACAACAGGCAAACTGTACAAGTACCAGGGTAAACCGGATCACCATAATGGAAAGGGCTTATCTTTAACCTACTCAATCATTTATTCATGCTGTGAAAGGGTGGAGCATAGCAGAAATGCTAAGTCATGGCTTGAAACATTGATTGAGCACCTGGTCGGAAGGCTGGGTCAATCCAAAGGAGCTCAGGTGCATTAATTTGGGCATATCCTCACTTGCTGTAGCTGAGGACTTTGCTGCTATGCTGTCATTGCTGTGCTTTCCATTGCATTACAGTGTTATAGGTGGTCTTAGAAAATGATAAATTTTTTCTAACTGTTTTGATCTCTAATTGTTTTAGTTTCTGAAACTGTAATTTGGGGAGCAGAATATCCACTGAAGAAGATATAGGCAACAAATATAAAGAGAAATGAGAGGAAGACAAGGATGTTGAGATGTTGGTCAGACCAAGAAGGGGCAATGGAGCAAGGAGAAATGAACAGGATATGGTAGCACAGGGCTAAAAGGGGATAGAGGGAACAAAAGAATAGTGATGCCCATTGTTGAGATGAGGGGGAAGGTTTTCAGTTTCAGACCAGTGGTGTGTAGGCCTGATTAGGTATGGAAATGCCTGGAACGTACAAGTGCCTCTTAGGCGAATGGTAGGACTGAACACGCCAGTTTGAGTCAAGTGCCATTTTCAATATTGGATTTAAAGGCTTAGAAGGAGATGACAGGCATGAATGGTGACTACCCTCATGTGGGTAGTAAAGGTTATGGAAACTATAGTTGAGAACTGGGATCCAGATTGAAATGATCTGCAGGTTATCTTAAATGAAGTGATTTATGGGGAAAAGAAAATTGTGATGGCCAAGACTAAAGAGGAGATGAAACAGGTGCATGTTCAAGCCAAAAACAGGATAGATAGAGGATCATTTTCCTTCCAACCATCCCTATTTTGGATTCCTATGTCCCTGCTCAAAGGTTATTATTAACCAAAAGCAACAATTTTATATGGGATTTGATATGCTATTCTGAAGTCAAATAATTGGTGTAAACTTTATCAGGTCATCCAAGGGAAGAATGAGAATCCCACCTCTTTCTTTGAGAGATTAAAGGAGGCTGCAGGAAAATATACTGATCTGAATCTGAATCTGGGAGCAAGGTGGAAACTATTCACCTGTGTGACCAGAAGTGGGGGAGCCAGGTTCCACCCCTCCCAAACCTCTTGTGAGAGCTGACTGCTTTGAGGGAAAGTTTTTTACTTGGAGATTGCCTTCTTTGGAGTATTTGGTGAATCCTGATCCTTGGAGTGGCCTAAACAAGTTCTTCTTTATTACTGGATTGTGAACTTTATTTTTCATAGGTGACCCTAAACTGATTTAAAGCAGCTATATCTGCTATTGCCTGTCTTTGCAGGGCAGATGCCCGTTCATTGGTTTAAATATTAGAAAATGTCTGGAAAGTATATAACAATAGAGAAAAGGTGGATGAAGAAAAACTTAGCAATAATAAGATGCTAGTAACAGTTATAACCCAAGAAATTGATAAGGTCGGGGGCAGGGCTATTGGTACCTGAGGGGGAGAAGGTTTTAAGTGGAGTGCAAAGGAACAGAAAACCATTAGGAGAGGATCAGTGTGCTTCCTGCAAGCAGAAAAGGCTCTGGAAAAGTGGATGTCCTCTATTAAGCTGCCAAGGCCTTTGGGAAATACTTAGGCAGGATATTAAATTTGGACTAAAAACCTCCTGGCTTCTCTGTATCTTGCATTTTATGTAAGCTAGAAAAGAATCCAAGACTGATATAATCAATGAGATCATTACTTTTCTGTGAAAATTTCTGCACTAATGTGATACTATTGTTAGAAAACATGGCCCTAAACATCTCTTATTCACAGACTCTCACCTTTCCCTCTTGGCTGAAGCTTTACATATCTCGGCCCATGAAACTTTCTGTCAGACACATGAAAACTAAAAAGAAGGGATGACCTTTCCTTCACTCTCTCCCTATCATTTTAAATTATAGCCTAAAATACCTATATGGACTATATATGAACTCTAAAGTGGGACAAGACTGCTGTCTGCTGGCACTTCTTGGATATTACCATGTGATAGTGCCCATCTATGTGATAGTGCCCATCTGTGTGATAATAGCATCACATAGAACTTCTCCTTAAAATTAATACAGAGGAAGTGGTTTGCATGCTTTTACACAAAAGACAGCATGTTTCAGATAGCGTGCTACTGACAGTAAGACCCATAAAGGGATTTAAGTAGGAAGGTTTTAGACTTGGAACAAATGCTAGTGATATAAGAGAAAGTCTTGATTCAATGAAGGCAAGTAACATCCCTCTAGTGTCATAATTTGGACAGAAAAAGTCCTAATTGTATTTTTAAAAATAATTCAATCTGAAAAAACAAAGAAAAAAATGTTCTCAATCATTTTTTAAATTAGTGAGCTAAGCATACTGTTTTGCTGCTGTAGAAAAGAGGATATTGCAGAGACAATTGCCTGTCCAGTATTTGAAATAACGTTCTGTAGATTTCTGTCTTGATCCTAAATGTTTCATTTTCCCTGGAGCCCTAACACCTCTTCCTAGCTGAGCAGGATAAACTAAGGGAAAGCAATTTGTGATTTTTTTCCCAGGAGAACTACCTTATTTCAAAGGATTGTATCTTCTGCTGACTGATTATCAAAACAGTTTCAAGTGAAGCCATTAGACAGCAACACGAACTGCAGGTGCTTATTCATGCAGCTATACCTGGATAGTTTCTGTGAGAAGACAAGGCCTGGATGGGCTGAACGTACCCCATGTCTAAATATTACACGCACCTTTTTTCACTGTACTGCCTCAGTGTCCGCCAGTCTGCAAAGTCTCACACAGATCTTTCATCATACCTGGGCTAACTGAATATAGGGGGGGAAAAATGCAGTTTTGTGTCTTCATTTAGTTATGTGTAAGAAAGAAATATGAAAGTACCTTATAACTTGTCACTGGAAGTCCCCTCCCCTTTCAGTCTCCAAAATGAAGGCAAGCTCTTGTTCATAGATTAAGCTTTTTCATCAGTCAGAAGCAACCTGCAGAAGACTGTATTTCTGCTTCCTGCAACAGGCAGCCAGAGAATGCAAGCTAATTGCCCAGCATCCTACTTCCATCCCTTTCAGAGCAAATGGCAAGTACAACAGAGATTGAAGAAAATATTCACAATCAGGCAAGGCTATAAAGAGAAATGCCAGTATATAGTAAGCAAATCACTTTCAATGTAAAACAACTACAGAAGGCTTGAGTTCTGTTATCATCCTGAAGCAGAAGAGAGGGAATGAAAGCACCATGACTATTGCTGTGAAATTACATAATGAAAAATAAGTGCAAATAAAGCTAGGTAATCATAACAAAGAATCATTTTTGTCTAAAGGAAGAACTGTTGGAATGATATATTAATGGATAACGTATACAACAGGAGATAATGGGACTATCACAGACAGAGCAGTGGCAGAGGAAGGAAGTGGCCTGTGGTTTCCACAGAAAAATTTTATGGTGACTGGATGACAAAATGAGAGTGGAGACACAGGTGGAATTGTTTTTGTATGAGACTGTACCGTTGTGGGGACAGGGGGTTCCACGATGATGCATTTCCCAGGAGGTCTTTACAAAAACCTGTACTTGCGTAAGTCACATGGGAGAGTGTGCTAAGACAACTAGAGAGCATTCTATAGCACAATGGACATGTTCTGTCTTGGTTTCTCTTGACAGACACAGTATGTTTTTGAACTTACCTTCATCGTCTGAGAACTGCAAGCCTATCCTGTCTGGAAAGCAAGCCAGTGGATTCTGATGACCTTGAAATAATTTTCAGCAAACCAGATTGACTGCAGATGCACCTAAATCTACCACAGTATGTGAAGCAAACAATATCTTTCTGATGCAATAATGTTTGCTGCTACCCTCAAAATGGTTCTTTATTAATGTGACAGAAGAATCTGAAAGGTAGCATATATCTTTCAGAAGCAATATATAAAAAGGTTGTTAGGGCTTTCTCTTGCAAGCAACTCTCCAGCATTCACTGAATGACTCATGCCTGTCGAGGCAGTGTTTTTCTCAAATCCTTTTCCATGATATCTCTGCAGTTTTTCCTAGTGATGAGAAAGGATTTGTCTGAGACCAGCCAACTGATTCTTCTGGACAATCCTTGTGTGAATTACTTTCAACCTATCAGAAAATTGAATGGAATCCTGCAAGACTATCAGATGGCTGAAGGGGAAAAAAGATGGGTTTGCCTTAATTCACTATCACAAAGGAGAAGCAACTAAATGAAAAGGTGTGCAACTGTGACCACCAGAAATCGACTTTATTATTAAATTTCACAGGTTAAAGAAATAAAACATTCTCAGTGTTTAGAGTATGAGCCTGACAATATGGAAGCTGTAGTTATGGAGGAATTATATTTCTAGACATTGACCCCCTTACACCACTTTGAACACCTCCGTACAGTTTATGTCTACAAAATGAGAATAGCACATGATATCAGTGAGGAAAACATGGCAAATAGTTTTTTCAGAACCTCTCTCTAAGAATGAAATATAGACAAAAATACAAATGAACTCTGAAAAAATGCTCTTATAAATGCTACAGATGATACAATGAGATTTCAAGCTATTGCTCTGCCACGGTCATTTAGATAGAGATTGAGTTTCAAGATATAGTTCAAGCTTCTCCTTACTAAACTCAACTGCAGTGCACTCTTTCTCTTAACTTATGATACAACAGTATGTCATAGTGAAGTAACATGAATTTTGGTGATGGCACGAAACTTACAGTGATCGGTAAGAAAATTTTCTTTTCTCTTTTAAATCACTTTAAATCCTGGGTATTCTCATCAGATTATTTCACTTTAGCATTATTCTCTTCTTCTTTATTAAACTGATGTTTTACTGATGTGCTAGTTGCCCAGTCTATCTTGGAGACTAGATTAAGTTCACTAATCTAAGTAAGGACACACATCTCACTTTGAATAACTGAAAGAAAACATTTTCTGTAATAAAGAACTGTCTGTCAAACGAGTTAGGTTGAGAATGGGTTGAAAAATATATGCATGTCATCAATATTTTTTTAAAAAATGACATCTGCAAAAATCACTGTTCTTGAAAAGTGTAACTGTGCTTCCAGGTTATTGTGGAGATACCACTGAAAGGCTATCTGAGTTACAGTTACATTTAGGAGAGGTCTCAAAAAGAAAATCAAGACTCTAAAAGCAAAGTACTTTAGATCTTATGGGGTAAACTAAAACATGTTAAATCAGGTAACTGGGAAAGACATATATCTGCTGATTTTTAGCTATCAGAACAGAAGAAAAAGGTATTCAGATTTATCACAGGCAATACTAACAGCTCTATGCAGCTGTTTAACAATTGATTGTTCTAGAAAACAGCTCTCCACAGCATGGCAAGATTCTTTCTGTATAATCTGTCAGGATTGTGCTAAAAAGTCTATTTGGAATAAGAGTCATACTGTTTCAGAATAGATGATAAAAGCTGATGAATATCACCAAAAGCCTATTTTCAAATTAAAATAACTTCTGGAGAACGTTTATTTCTGGGTCATAGTTCAGGATTTGGACTCCTTCCAAATCCAGAAGAAAACAAATGTGTTTCTAAGACTGATAGATCATAGAATCATAGAATGACTTGTCTTGGAAGGGACCTTAAGGATCATCAAGTTCCAACCCCGCTGCTGCAGGCAGGGTTGCCAGTGATGGTGATCTCTTCTTCTCATTACTATTATTCCTGGAATTAGAAGAACTGATGCCTCATGCTTTTATACCAGGCCCTTCATTGCAGAGCAAAAAAAAACCTTTCAGGTGATAAAATTCTGTCTCCATAGGAAAAATGGAGGCCCTCAATTGGAGATGATCAATTAATTATTATTATTTTTTTAACTACGGTGTGAATCTGAGGTGCTGATGAAAAACAATACGCTGATCCATCATTGACTGCTGACACTATGAACCACCTTGTATGCTAAAAAAACCCAAAATACTTATTTTACAAGAAAAGGCTATTCATGACATTGAAAGGAGATGGGGAAATAAGGAATTGAGTCTTTTCAGCTGAAAATAAGGAAATAAATCTGTTTTCTCTTTATGAGGAGTGTATTCTAATACTGCATGTCCTTAAGTGTCCTGTAAAGAATTTTTGAAAGCTGCGCAAATTGATTCACCTGTTCCTGAATCAGAGAGCCTGAAGAAGAATTTCTGGGACTTGTCTCACCAGATTAAACAGATATGCAGTTGCTGTTCCTTTACAGACCTTTCCTTTATTTCCTAGGAGACCATAAATTAAGGTATTTTGTGTTTCACTATCTACCACATGAGGGAGGGTTAGTCCAGAAGCTTTGTTCAGAGAACGGACAGTAGCAGAGAGGTTTTAATGCAGCTACAAAATAGTGTGAATAATGAAAGACTGTTCTTTGGCACTGGGACAAAACTCACAGTACTAGGTAAGTTAAAAGTCAGATCTCTGTAGTATATGTAATATTGTTTTAGGGGATAAAAGAATTTCTTAATTAATAGCAGAATAATGGTAATTTTTCCCCCATCCACAAGGACAGGACAGATGCTTTATAGATTGTTTATTAGAAGAAAAAAAGAAAGAAAGAAAGAAAAGGAAGATGGATATGGAAACATAGGGTTTGCAGACACTAATTTTAGGATCCTTTTTAGCTTTGACTTGTGCTGCTGTCTTCTCTGGCTGAAAGCTTCATGATGGGAGAAATGAAAAAAATAACTCTGCTCCCATTGTCCAAGAAAACAGATCCCTCTTTGGTCTGCACGTTTTGTGAGTTCTTTTGTCACTGTGTATCAATAAAAAGCAACATTTAGGAGGTATGACCATGCTCACTGTTCATGCTCTTGTGGCTGCTGAATGTGGCAGGGAAGGAACAGATTGCTGGTACTTTGCTTTTCTTACCATAGATGTTGAGCAGGCTGCTTGAAGTTGCACTGGGACACTGGCTCCATTTATCTTTCTTTTTCACTGTTCCTGATTTTTAAAAAGTCTGTGTTCTCTTCCTCTCACTTTTCTGATCAGGGAAAGTGCACTATCCTCCTCTATTCTTTCTATTTTTCTCCATCTACTTTTTCAGCCTTCTCCTCTTGCAGAAAATAATTTAACACTGCTTACCCGATCTGTTGAGCATTTTGGAATCCCAGAGTAAAACTACTTTTTCCATCTGCTCTGATAGCAAACTGTAGAAATACACACCAGAATACGTTCCTTTGAATATTCCCATCTTAAGGAACTCAGTGACTGATAAGGGCAACACAAGGACTGTGGGTTGTAGTCTGAGGAGTTACAGCTTTGCTTTTTAACTGCACCAGTTATATTTGGAGTTGACACCGTAGTCAAAGTTATGCACAAGCTGCTGTGATTTTGCCCAAGTGCTTAATGTAAAGGGCAATTGAAAATTTCCCTTAATGATATATAGTATATACATTATTTTCAAATGAAAGTACGGCTTAAAGATAACAAGAAATCATGAAAGTGATCTTAATATGATGAAAATGGAATGGAAGAACTGTGATACGTTTTCTCTGGGATGAGTGAAGAGTGTAAGGCAGGGCATACATGCATTTATGCATGAGAGTGGTTAAGCATTGCATCAGTGATCTTATATGACCAACATGGATGATCAGAACAGAATGGGCTGTTGACAACATGTTTTATGATTGCCTCTATTCTTGCTTGCATCAGTCTCCTAATTCCATTTTAAATATGCTAATTCTCTGGCTATGTTTGGTTGGTTTTTTTAAAATTCTTTTTACTTTGATTCTCTGTGTAAGCCTTTTTCACAGCTTTCCTTCTTTGTTTTATTGTTGTTTGTTTGTTTTTAAACCTCCCTCACTACTACTTTGTGTTTTCTTTTCTTCATGTGTTTCCATGTCTTCACTCATTAGCCACCACACTGATGTTATATTAGAGATACATTAAGAGCTAAAATAAACAACAAAGATACAACCAGGTACTGGAAGTAAAAGTAATCAACCTTAGTTTGTGTAGCTGGAATGGAAGCAGAGGAGTTCAAAACTTTTAGTGAGTTGACTATGAAGACACATTACTATGAATTACTATACCTCTTCTGAGGCTCGTATGAACTCGTGTATGGGCTCAAGGTTCTTTGTGGAGTAAGCACTAACAATCATGATTAAGGCTAACAATTGAAAGAAAATACTGAGGCTTCATGGGGTCAAGATCGTGCAAGATATAAAACTCTTTTTATTTATATGTGTCCACTCTAGAAAAGAGGAAATGATCATGAAAAGCATCCACAATTTATAATCCCATCACATAGAAAAAGTACAAAGTCTTCATCCATAGTTCTCTCCATGAATTTCTCTTTCCATGTGTGTTCTGCAGACCTGGTGGATTCGTCATGCTAGATAAGAATTTAAAAAAAAAAAAAAGGACCTCTAGAAAAATATATATGAAATATATATCCTTTTTGACTGTAGATGTTGTATAGATATAAGGACACGGATCATCTAGGACATGGAACATTTTTTTTTCTTGTGAGTGTATACACATTTATTTGGAAAGTCTTATATGAGTTTTTCTTATTCTGAGGATAACCTAAACAATAAATGACATAAAGCAATACTTCATAGTCTTAAAATAGGATAGTAAGTTAAGAACTAAAGATAAACTTGTCCTAGTCAGTTTTAGATTATGTACCTGAAGTGATTCAGACAGTGAGAATGAATAACTCTTTCCTTTCAGATCGTATCATACCTTGAGTGACAAGTAAGGTATAACATGGAAGTAAAATTTTGAAAACAGCAATAACCATCATGTCTTACTATAACTTCAGGAATGTGCCACAGTCAGCTGAAGATGCTTATGAATTTTATCTCCTAGTACAACAACACAAATACAGGCCTACTGTGTACTTTTCTGCCAATACGTTTGCTCAGCTTCTTATCAACTGTTCTGTTCTAATAGAGACAACATGAGAAATGCAAATAGTACTGTGTTTCTGTTGCTTGAGCTTTTATAATACTGTATAACTAATGATTTTTGCACTTGTGCATATCTGTATTACAGATAATTATCTGTCTACTAGGAATTTATTAAAAGACCAGTTGCACAGCCCAAAAAATTCATAGTTAAAAGGGGTTGCTGAGAAGAATAATGAAGCCTCTGGGCTACGTTACTTTCTACATTACTGTTTCAGGGAAGAACAATGAAATCATATCACCGACTGTGGTACAAGTCCTACTTTTCCTCGGGCTCACAGCAGTACTGTTGCCTGAAGATTAAGTTCAGCTCTATAGTTCTTATTTAAACTTGAATTTGACGTCCAGCCTCCAGTGAAAATACTTCTGCAAAAACAAATTAACAAACAAAAACCACCACGGTTAGTTATTTGTTAGTTAAATCATCAGTGGAGGCTCTGAGCTACACTGTTTTTTGTTTCAGAGAAGAACAGAGAAATCATATCACCGACTGTGGTCATCTTTTCACCATCAAAGCAAGAGATTCAACAGAAGAAGAAGGCCACACTGGTATGCCTGGCCTCTGGTTTCTACCCTGATCACCTCAGTTTAGTCTGGACAAAGAATGGCAAGAAGATGACAGAAGGAGTGGGAACAGATGAGACTTCCACACCAAATGGGAGCACTTACGCATTGACCAGCAGACTGAGAATCTCAGCCCAAGAGTGGTTCAACCCTCTGAATCGTTTTGAGTGTACTGCTGAATTTTTTAAGAATGGAAGTCTGGAATTAATACATAAATTCATCTATGGTGATGCTGGTAAGTAAAAACAAAAGAGTATCGCTGTGGTTTACATAGTGGAAATGCTAAGTCATGGCTTGAAACAGTGATTGAGCACCTGGTAGAAAGGCAGGGCCAACCCAGGGTTGCTCAGTTACATGCAATACACCTGAGTGACTGGAAGGAGTGGAGCCAGGATCCACCCCCTTCCACAACCTCATTTTAAGGGCTGGCAGTGGAGGTGAGGATATCTCACTGGAGATCCCTGCCTATCTGAGGCCTCCCAAAGGTAAGCAATTTTTCTTCCTTTGTTTTTGTGTCTATGGCTGCTGTATGTGGGCTTATCCTCTTCTGCTGCAGTTGAAGACTTTGCCACCCTGCTATTATTGCCACACTTTTCATCGCATTCTAGTGTTACAGTGTACAAGTTAGAAGTCACTTAAAAGATGAAAAAAAAGGATATGGGCTATTTATTTCTATACAGTGGTTTGTTCATGACACAAATATATTTGTAATTGTACAGGTATTTGTATGTATCTACAGTGTTATCTATATATAGAGAGAGATTTTTGAAGGTTTATTCAAGTTTTCTTAGTGAAAGAACATAGTACATTATAAAATATATTCTATCGTAAAATGAAAAATACAGAGTATATTAAAAAAAAAAAAGACACACTGTAAATGGAAATGTCAAAAATATATTTTTGTTCACACCAAAGAAAAATGTGACTTTCTGTTTTTATTTGTCTTTCAGGCTGTGCGCTTACTAAAGGTATGTGTACATTCTTACCTTCTCATAGGCAAATAAACATCTGTATTTCAATTTCAGTTTTACTGATGGTAAGTGTAAGAGGTGAGTGAGATATATATTAGATCTTTCTTCTAGAAGATTAACTTATTCTTTCAGATCTGAGTGACACCTCTGTTATTAAAAACAAACAAACAAAAAAAGGTGAAGGTTGGAGTAGCATTCTGTATGGTTCTTATCTACATTTACCTTATGAAATAATGGAAGAAGATGTGGAACCTTTCCATGCAGTCACTTGCTCTTTCTATCTCCCCCAGTCTTCAACATCACCCTCTATAGGAAAGCTACATGTTTACCTTTTTTCTAGCAGAAAGTTCATCCATGAAAGAAAAAAATCATGCTAGCCAAGTGACTATGACATCAAAACTGAAAATCATAGAATGGCGTGGGTTGAAAAGGACCACAATGATCATCTAGTTTCAACCCCCCTGCTATGTGTGGGATCACCAAGAAGTTGACCAGGCTGCCCAGAGCCACATCCAGCCTGGCCTTCAATGCCTCCAGGGATGGGGCATACACAGCCTCCTTGGACAACCTGTTCCAGTGTGTCACCACACCCTGTGTGAAAAACTTCCTCCTAATATCTAACCTAAACCTCCCCTGTCTCAGTTTAAAACCATTCCCCTTTGTCCTATCACTATCCACTCATGTAAACAGTCATTCCCCCTCCTGTTTATAAGCTCCCTTCAAGTACTGGAAGCCACAATGAGGTCTCCCCAGAGCCTTCTCTTCTCCGAGCTAAACAATTCCATTTTCCTCAACCTTTCTTCATAGGAGAGGTGCTCCAGTCCTATGATCATCTTAGATGCCCTCCTCTGGATCTGTTCCAAGAGTTCCATGTCTTTCTTGTGCTGGGGGCCCCAGGCCTGAATGCAGTATTCCAAATCGGGCCTCACAAGAGCCTTTTTGAACCTCATTAGGTTTTCATGGGCCCACTTCTCCAGCCTCTCCAGGTCCCTCTTGTTGGCTTCCCTTCCCCCTACTATATTGACTGCACCACTCAGCTTGGTGTCATCCACAAACTTGCTGAGGGTGCACCCAATGCCATTATCTATGTCATTGATGAAGATGTTGAAGAGCACCGGTCCCAAGACTGGCCCTTGGAGGACACCGCTTGTGACTAGCCTCCACCCCAACATAGAACCATTGATCACAACCCTTTGGCTGCAACCAGCCAGACAATTCTTAATCCACTGAACAGTCCATCTTTCAAATTCATACTTCTCCAATCTAGAGAGAAGGATGTGGTAAGAGACCATGTCAAAGACTCTGAAGAAGTCCAGGAAGATGACATCCATCGCCCTTCCCCTGTCCACCGGTGCCTCTACTCCATCATAGGAGACCACCAGGTTGGTCAGGCAAGATCAGAAAGCTATTAAAATAAAAGGCTAGATAGCATGTTATTTTGTGCTGTAAAACTTACCTGATATGACAGCATTTACTGACAATAACAAGCAAAAACAAATGTATCTTGTAATTCAACTTAATTCAAGTTCCTAAGGGGGATTTACATGACCAGCCTACATTTTTATCAGGTGTGGTAACACAAAGGTTAACTATTCCCAGTCAGAACATAGTTTCTTATCATAAAGCCAGTCTCTGTCTTTTCTAGGATTGCTTTCTCCTGTCATTCTTTGAATCACAGTATTCTTTCCCATTCTGTGCTATCTCAGATATCAACATAACCATTCATTTGACTGTAATTCCTTTGCTTGGTTAAAGATTTCAAGTATTTCTGGTACATCGTATCAAGTCTCTCCTGATGATGATAATTTAATACACAAATTGCATTTGCTTTGCAGAATCCTACTTGCATTATGGAAATTCTATGAAGCTCACTTACCTCATTTTGTGTGGCAAAGCCTTCCTCTATGCAATTTTGGTGTGCACTCTGATGTGGAAAGTCAAGGTACGCTGATGTGTCACTTTCAGGCTGAGCTTGTTCACTAGTACAAGGATTAGGGGACAAAACAAAATTTACAATCACAAAAAATCACAAGTAGTAAGTTTTCTGTTACAGTTTTTCCAGAGCTCAAACAAAATTAATGCTGCCCAGCAGAGAAATTCTTTCTGAAAACATATGGAAAAAAAGATAAGAAGTAGTAAGCACAACTTCTCCAGAAAGCAAAGCAGGGAAATATCAGACACATGATGCTTTTCTGTAATCACTGAGAAGGGACACTTGCCTGCAGCAAAAGTAGAAATCAGGAGTTTGAAGAAGATACATACAGTGAATGGGATAAATCTAAAAAAATAGGAGAATTTTAGGAAGCTTGTAACAGACGTAGAACACTTTTTATCTGTAATCTTTTCAAATACCTGATATTTTCTGGTCAGAGTAGTGGAAGCCTCAGCACCAACTTCCTTTAGATGTGGACTGGGAATTGTGTTTGAGAAGGGACATAATAGAGTTAAGAGTGAGTATGAGTACAACCCCAGTTATTTTCAAGACTTTTTTTCCTCCTTTTTGAAGCCTACATGAGAAAGTACATTACTGGGTCACAATCATTTGTGATTTTTTTATTTTTTTATTTTTTTTTAAGCTATTAACTCAGTATGTAAGTAAATAATATGTCTGGGTACTTTTGTAGCAAGATACATTCTTGCTACTAAGAAAGAGTGAAGGCTTGGAGCTACAGCTTCATAGAAGCACAGTGTCACATAATTGTAGGGGTTGAAAGTAACCTCTAGATATCAGCCACCTGCTAAAGCAGGTTCTCTACAGTAGGTTGCACAGGAAAGTATCCAGGTGAGTCTTCTTCCTTTTATTTAGATGGAACTTCTTATGTTCCAGTTTCTGTCCCCTGCCCCTTGTTCTATTCCTGCATGACACTGAAAAGAGTCTGGCCCCATCAACTTGACATGCTCATTTCTGTGCATGCTCTCAGGAAACACAACAGTACAGGCAGTTGTAAATTTGGACTATTGTTAACCATGCTCTTGTTTAATTGTTTATTCTGTTTTGTTTTCATTTAGGCTGGTAGCAAGCCATATAAAGAATAAGTGAATAATCTCCTCCATCTCATCAACAGGAAAACAACAAATTCCACGTTTTTCTTTTCTGTGGTAGAGTCCAAGCTTCTAATATCCTCTTTCTTGATGGTTCTCTGTTCTCTCCTGTTCTTTCAGCTTTGTTTTAATCACTGCCAGATTTCCCATGGACGTGCAGGGTAATCTCTGTCTTAGCTTTAAAACACCTCCTTACTGCTCAGAGATGTCAGCTTCTTAAATTAGGAATAAAGTTTGTGTCACTCCATTCAAGAAGCTTGAGTGTTTTTTCCCAACTTTATATTTTGTTGCAATACTATTCTACACCAAAACTTCAGTGGCACTTAGTATTATAAAATATACACATTAAAATACATTCAATGACAATACTGAGGAAGAATCTATCTGTTATGCAAATATTAGAAGGCTCGTCCATTGCTGATATTGTGTTCTAGCAAATAAAGTGGGGTTCCAAGATTTAAATCTTGCATGCCCTACTATCAGTGACTGAGAGAGTGAGGATCCAGATCAATTGCTAAGAGACTGATAGTGCATACGTGTGGGTCTCAGTGTGTGTGTCTGTGTGTGGGGGGAGGGGGATAGGGAGGGGTGTGGAACTGAAGTTTTGCATCTGTGAAAAGGAGGGAGGGTCTGTACAAGGAAGCAGAGTGAGACTGTAGTCTTCAGACTTTCATATGTTCCTCTACAAGCATGTAAGGAGACCAACGATTTAGGGCCAGTTCCTGAATAGCCTGAGTGTCCAAGGTGAGCTGCTGGAGGGATTCACACCTTGTAGAATTTCTGTTAGTAGACTTTTATCCTGATCAGCCAGAGGAGAAAAAGGTGATGCAGCTGTTGATGTCTGTGCTTGCATGGTGCTAAGTTTTTCTCCTCATGTTACGTTGCATGACTTGCTGCTGTGGCAGGCAGATAAGCACCAAACAAGTGCTTGCTCACTCCTTCCAGCAGTGAGATGGGACAGAGAACGGGAGAAAAAATAAAACTCATAGGCTGAGATAAAGGTAGTTTGATAGGACCAAAAAAAAGGAAGGCAAAGCAATCAAAATAATAATAACAAAAGAATATTAAAAATATGTTAGATTCAATAACAACAAATAAAACATTTGGAACTTAGAATCATAGAATCACCGAGGTTGGAAAAGTCCTCCAGAATCATCCAATCCAACCATCTACTTACCACAAATATTTCCCCACAAAACCATGTCCCTTAGTACAACAACTAAACATTTGTTGAACACCTCCAGGGATGGGTACTCAACCACCTCACTAGGTAGCCCATTCCAGTGCTTGAACAACTTCTTTCAGAGAAGAAATTTTTCCTAAAATTCAACCTGAATAATCCCTTGCAACTTGAGGCCATTCCCCTCTAGTCCTACATGAGAGAAGAGGCTGATCCCCACCTCAGCACAACCTCTTTTTAGGTAGTTGTAGAGGGCAATATGGTCTCTCCTGACCCTACTCCTCTCCAGACTAAACAGTCCTAGTTCCTTCAGCCTAAGCATAGTGGTCCAGCATGGCCAGATACCTCTGTAGGGCTTTCCTACTCCCAGGCAGATGGACATTCCTTCCAATTTGGCATCATCTGCAAACTTACTGAGAATGCACTCAGTCCCCTCATTCGGGTGATCAGCAAAGGACAAGCCCCAGTACCAAACCCTGAAGAAAACCACTTGTGACTGCTTGCCAGCTGGATTTAACTCTGTTCACCACAGCTCTCTGGGCCCAGCAATCTGTCCAGTTCTTCACTCAGCAAAGAGTGCGCTTTTGTCCAAGACAGGAACTGTCAGCTTCTCCAGGAGAATACAGTGGGAGACAGTGACAAAGGCTTTGCTAAATCCTAAGTAAACTACAGCAACATTCTTTCCCTCATCCAAATGACCAGGTGGGTCATTTGATCACAGAAGGAGATCAGGTTGGTCAAGCAGGCTCTGCTTTTCACGAACCCATGCTGGCTGGGCCTGATCTCCTGGTTGTCCTGCACGTGCCAAGTGATCCCATTCAAGATGTAACCCTCCCTGGCATGTAGGTTCAGCTGATAGGACTAGAGTTCCTCGGATCTTCCTTATGACCCTTGTAGATGGGAGTCATTTTATCAAGCCTCCAATCCTCTAGAACCCCTCTGGTTGACCAGAAACTGTGATGGTGGAAAGTGCCTTGACAATCACCTCTGCCTGCTCCTCAGCACATTTAAATGGATCCCTTCTAGCCCCATGGACTTGTGACAGTCCAGGTGGAGTAGTAGGTCTCTAAACATTTCCACCTGAATGGTGGCTTATTCTGCTCTGCACCCCAGACTTCCAGATCAGAAGGATCCTTCCATCAGGATATCAGGATATTTGTTCTCTTATACTACAGTAGCTCAGCTACTGTAGAGCCTGCTCCTGCACCTCTAAGACTTCCTTGCTGAGGAGTAGTCAGCCTTCCTGGATCCTTTTCTGTTCAGGGCAGAGTCTCCAACTTCCATATTTAATACGAGACGAGGCTGCCCAGGGCTGCATCCAACCTGGCCTTGGGGCCCTTGGGCCCCTCCAGGGCATCCACAACTTCTCTGGGCAGCTGATGTTGACTTATGCCAGCCATCTAAGCCAGAGAAAACAGTTGAGACAAGAGTTCCTCCAGATAAGCACATTAATGAATATCCAATACTGTAAAAGACTGATCCTGAGTTATAAGCCAGGTGACCTCAAAAGACATAGAAACACCAATGAGTGAGTATCCTGTTCACCCAAGTCCAGGGTGCTGGCCACAACTTATACTGGAGAGTCTAACTGCTGGGTTTGCTGTACAGAGCATGTATATGCATGTGCATGTCAGAAACCTTAGGATAAAAGCTTCTGTCCAGCTGTCATACCCATTTTAATATATTAGCAAATTTATTTTAGATACTTTGTCACTTGATGGTATTGTTTTCTTCTTGTGACTGCTTTATCCCTAAATTACCCCATGACAGAAACCGTAATCATTTTTCTAGTGCACCTATGCTGTTTATCCTCTTACTGGTATTTAGCATCTGTTTGGTATGCTCATACACATCTGTGTCTTTCTAGTTTTCAGTCTGTCACAGCCATCTTCCTGCTTCTTACCAGATATATATACAAGATTGGAGATTGGATTGCTGAGTGGCAATGTGTTGGAGGAGACAAATGGCACAGTACAATTCATCATGCAGAGATATAGAAGCATTTCTATCCCAACAGTTGTCTTTGAAAGTCTTGACAGTCAAGACCATTAATTTTCCATAGTACAGTCGGTATAAGCACAGACTTATAAATATTTTCTAAAATTTGTCCGCAGTCTCTTAAGACTTGAAGGAAGCATCATGTTCAGTCATCATAAGAACACTGGCAGGAAAGTCTGATGCATTTCTTTGGAAGGAATTTACAGAAGCACTCTTTGAAAAGTGTGAACCGATGCTCCTGAGGAGTTCACTCAGCCAGAATGGACAGACAAAAGATAGAGATCTCTCTCCTCTTGGAGAGGTCACCAACATGAAAATTCTTTGATGCCATGATGAAATCCTGGCGGTGTTCCTATTTTTCTTCACACAGGAAGATTTGTAGTCTAGACTTCATTGCAGCCCGTATAAGTAGAAGAACGTTTTGCTTATTCCATCATTGATCTATAGGTATTTCCACCATGAGAGGACATATTCATACAGGAATCAGCAAGTTTTTGATCATTACTTAATGGCCACATGGGAACCATACTGCTTCAAGCAGTATCTATCTGCTCCCACACGGATACCTTTAAGATTCTGCCTGGTTGGGGCTTGAGGAGAGATGAATAAAATATTATCACACGAAAAACAAAACAATTTTGACAGGTCTACAACACTGTTCTTGCTAGGAAAAAAGCACTAAGTCAGGTAAGTAACTTCTAGGAAGAGAGCTACAAGAATGCTTACTACATCTAACTCCCACTCCCACATTATCCTTTTGAAAATATATCCAACAGAATACTCCTTTGAATGTAGTATGGACTAGTTTCTAGCAGAGTTTGATGCTGGGACCCTAGCAGTGGTACCAGATGAGAAAAAGAAGCCTGTACTTTTAAAAAATTCATGGTTTTTTAAATTCTTTTCTTTTCTTTATCTTTTTCTTTTTTCTTTTTTCTTTTTTCTTTTTTCTTTTTTCTTTTTTCTTTTTTCTTTTCTTTTTTTTTTTTCTTTTTTTTTTCTTTTTTTTTTTTTTGTAAAAAAGTATTAAAGGGCTGCATGAAAATTAGACAGGAGGGAAGCTGAGGGAAATAAATGCAAGATGGGTGGATGGGTGAGTTCCAGAAATTCAACTGTTCATTAGCAAAGATTAGTGATGGCAGAAAGAGGAGAGATTCACTGCTTCTGCTTTTATTTACAAAAGATGCCTCAGGCTGAATTCTGAAACTAATGCTGAGAAGCAGGGTACAGAAATGAAAATTGTTACTTCCTAGATAGGCTGGGTTCGCTGGATACAGTACCTCCTGAAATAATATTCTATATATTTCTGCAAAAAGTACATTTTTTCTAATATAGATGAGAGTAGAAAGGTCCCTTCTGTATGTGATCTAGTGCAAGATATGATATATCTTGATAGAGGTTTTATGAGCTGTTGATAGTGGCAGCCAATTCTGGTACTTCTTCAAATTACTGTGCAAACTCACCACTGAACTTCGGACAGGGCACCCATCTGACAGTGCTTGGTAAGTCTCCTTTGTATGCTTATTTGTTACTCTAGGATAAAACTTGACTTATTTTTCCTGCCTTGTGCTTGTCATCTCCTTCACCTCCTCAAAATACTTTGCTTTGAAACAGGTAGGGATATCATACTGAAGAAGTTTAGTTGGTGCTCTGATTATAGCTGTTACTTATGTAGTCTTATGGCTGGTTGAATCAAAAGGGTGGATTGTCTCCCAAGAGATTGCTTTTCACAAGAATGCCTATGTGGGTCAAAGTTACAAGGCACAAAGAAAAGGAGGCCTTTTTGAAATCACCTACTAAACAATTTAATGATCCTCTATAATTTACACAAAATCTCAGCATTTTTTGTTCACTTAGGAAGGAAACTTGAGTTGATTTCTCTTTCACATAAACTTGGACTATGAAAAGCATCACAGTAATTTGGGCTTCGGCTTATAATATTTTAGAAATAAGTGTTTGCAAAAAATGTTAACAGTGCTTCAACAGTGCCCTTAAAGTTTAGAGCAGATATCAAGAGGACTGTTACAAGTCAGGAAATGCCACTTACAATGTGTATTTGAAATTAAAGAAGACAGAAACACTACTTAGAAAAATTCTGTTGTTCAGCTGTTTTTGTTTAAACCACTATTTCCTATTTTAGTCAAGCATGTTTAAGTTATTCCCTGTACAGTGCACAGGATGATCAATCTTACAGCTGTAGTTAATATTTTCAGAACTTATAGAGTGGTAAGTGGAGGCTGACAGCAAAACTGAGTGTGTCTGCCAATTCTTTTTCACCTTACTTGACACAGGTTTTTGTTAACACATGCCATAGGTACTGATCTTTCTGTGGAAGCTACCTTTTGCACATTCAAAGAATCATCCCCCAAGAAACATGTGTAGTACAAATTCTTTCTGGTGGCTCTGATAAGACTTTACATTGAAAATTCCACATGGCTTTCAGTTCATCATCACTTAAAGTATTGAAAGTCGGTGTTGTCATAAATCTCTTGCTTAAAAACAGGTTTTTTTGTATGTTCATAGAAAAGAGGATTCTTTAAATGAAAAATGCTTTTGTTGTTACACCCGAAAGAAAGAGGAGAAAATGTACTAAAGGTCTACAAGGAAAGCATGGACAGAATCTTCCCAATGGTCTGAATATTTCAGTGCTGAAATATCATGCTTTATTTCCTGCGGCTTGTGAATCTCTTTCGAAGGTAGCTCTTCTGGGTATAGGGAAACTACAATATAGAAAATTTGTGCCAACATGAAGGATAAAGACAAGGTCCTCAGATATTTTCATGTGAAGGTCAGCAACAATAACTTATTTTGAAAAAGAAATATGACTCACTGTTCTAGGTAAGAAAAAAATGTATAATGGAAAATCTTAAATTGAGTGTTTCAGGAAAGATAGACCAAAGAAAGATGCAGTTAGCAGGAATTCTGAAAAAGAAAGGGACAAATTAAAAAATTCATTTTATTATATTTCCTATGGAAAAGGATGTTTTTATATTAATCTGTTATGATAATAAATCTGTAGAAAGTAAGCAAGATTAATATAAGAAATTGGAGTCAGAATAGTGAGATGGGATCAAAGAAGAGAGCTCAAGCCAGATAAGACATGTTCTGGAAGAACATATACTGCATCTACAATGCAGAACTCCTAGAGACTCTGTCCATTGTTCACATAATATTCTGGTTGTCTTTCATTAGAAAGAAATTATATTCCTGACCAAATCTTTTTCCCAGAATTAGATTGCCTCCAAATGAACAAATACTTCTTATTCCTATGTTATTCCTATCTCCCGCTGTCATACCCAGATAGAATGTGTGTCCATGGGACTGGGAGCGATGTACTTCTACTCAAAAGGAATTGGCAAAAGACATGGAGGCTGGAGGGGAAAAAAGTGAGAGTGTGTCCAGAAGGTGGATGGATCTTATGTTATGTACTTTTATTCCTAAAAAGTGTGAGGATATATCAATGTCAAAGTGCAGTAGTAGACAATAGAGTGTTTTATTGATGACAGACAAGTGAGTAGTCATTTTCATGCTTTCATCCAAATCATTATTAGAACAAAATGCAGAATATTTAACGATAAAGTACCAAAGAGATAGCAGATTGATAGACCTTCTTTTCAGTACATCTTTGGGTACTACTGGACAAAAAAAAAAAAAAAAAAAAATCAAATGTGAAGTTTTTAACATGTTGATCACTGCACAGGAGTGAGCAGTTTTGATATTACACTGTGAGGCTGTGTTCTGTCAATACCCAGTATTTTGGAGACGGAACAAAAGTAACAGTTCTGGGTAAGTGGGACTCGTGAGAAGTGTGTGTTTTGTTGTGCAAGGGGAAGGGTTCTAGGGCTGTAACAATGATAAGTAAGTAGAGAATTCAGTGGATTCAGACAAAGGATCCTCTCTTCAGAATTTCTATTATTTATGCTCTATAGTTAGCACAGACTAGAATGGAATATAAAAACTCAATTGGTATGGAATACCAACAGAATGCAGTATAAAAGTAATTCCAACTCTTTCTGGAATGCAGAAAGATGGATAAAATATATATAAGGATATTTGGTGAAAATGGCTGTATTTATTAAGCTTACTAAAAATATCCTGATGAACCTTATACTCACATATAAACTTACAGAGTGGTTTTAGTGGACCTTGATAAAAGTGAATAAGGGAGAGATTTTTGGGTGGGCATTTTAAAGTGTATATTCTGGAGTAGTACTGCAGTTAAGAGTTTTGTGTAAGAAAGAAAGAAATATACCAAATACTAGAGAGTTCCTTTAAGATTCTGAAATAAAAAGTAAGGGAATTTTCGGTGGGAATTTAATTGGCAAAATCTGGTGATCCTCACTTGGATTCTCTTGGAGAGCACAGAAAGAAAAGAGACAGGCAACACAACACGTTTAATAATAGGTAAGAAGAGGGGAATTTTGGTACCAAAGAAAGTGCGTATGTGCATGAATGAATTAACCTACTGTACTCTGGCTCTTCTGAAAACACACTAAGAAAACCAGTTAAAAGATATAGGTAATGCGCTAACTAGAAACAGTTTGAGAGAAAGTGACCTGCACGTCTACCTACAGGAAAACTGGGAAAATGCAATTTTTCTCAAATTAGGCAATCTAATGCTGACCCTGCACTGTACCATTTGATCCAGAGAACAAAAACAAGAATCCAAACATTGAAATGCTAGTTTCATTGAAATGAGTGATTAATCTTCAACAAATTTCACTATTTTTAATACTTCACTTCTTAGTTTCAATCAGACATCTATTTGCACTACTTAAAGTTATTTCTACCATGTCTGGCTGTCCATCTGCTGTCCGCCTACTAAGATTTCATAAGGATTCCAATCAGACAGATGGGGAAAGAGGAAAAAAGGAGAAAGGAATGGTCAAATGAATCTGAGAAAGAAAATCGGGAACAATTGAAAATGCTAAAAAGAGAGAGAGAGAATTCTGTAATATCATCCACGAGGACATAAGAAAAGGTAAATGTGGATTATGTCCCTGTAGCAGGGAAAATTTTACACACATATACACACAAAACCATATCATTCAAGTATTTACAGTTTCAGATATAGGCAAGTAGACTTAGGGTTTACAATTTAACCCTGTTTTTCTCTGATCTCCATTCTTTTCCAATTGACATCCATTGCAAGGAAAACTAAGAGAAAGTTTTAATAGAAAAGATGGAGCTGACAAGTCCTGTGACATGGGAATGAGAAGCACAGTTGAAATCCTATTGGCCTTTCTTCAAGATATAATGAACTTTGTAATTTTTTTTTTTTTTTTTTCCATCTAATTAGGACACCAAGGATATAGTCCACTTCTTTATTTCCAGGATGAGAGGAAGGGCAATCACCTTTGCAGAATTGAGCCTTCACAATTTAAATCCATATTTTACTCAGTAGATGATAAAGGAAGATTTATTCATAGAATCGTAGAATGTCCTGGGTTGGGAGGGACCTCAAGGATCATTAGATTCCAACCTCCCTGCCACAGGCAGGACTGTCAACTCCTAGGTCAAGTACTAGAACAGATTGCCCAAGGCCCGATTCAGTCTAGCTTTGAATGATTCCAGGGACCCAGGGCATCCACAGCCATTCTGGCCAACCTGTTCGAGCACCTCACCAGCCTCTCTGTGAAAAACTTCCCCCTGACATCTAATCTAAATCTTCCCTCCTTTCATTTGAAACCATTCCCCCTTGACCTACCACTATCTACCTGCCATAATCTATATCATTGATAAAAACCTTAAAGAGTACCAGACCCAAGACAGACCCCTGGGGGACATCACTTGTCACCAACCTCCACCTGGACATAAAGCCATTGGCCACAACCTTCTGGCTGAGGCCTTCCAAACAATTTCTTACCCATTGAATGGTCTACCTTTCAAATCTATATCTCTACATTCTTTCATATTACTTTTACTTTTTTTTTTTTTTGTATTACTGCATCTTGGTATTTTGCTCTACATATGAGCAATATTTTGTGACATAAATTAAACTGCCTGACATGGCTTACTATTTCTTTGACCAAAAAAACTCATCGTTCATCTTAGCGCAAAAGACAAGAGAATTAAATTCTTTTTTTTTTTTTTTTCAATTAGCAGATCAGCTTTATTAACTTTGGCTATCTGGACGATATTCGGAAAAACGTTTTATACATGCTCTGTACATTAACATTTTGAATACTTGAGCCACATTCTATTCAAATTTTATATTTATTTTTATTCAAAAGACATGTATAGCATAGCATACTTAGTATACACTATACAAAGATACTATAATCAAACGTGTATATAACTGTTTTATAGCCTGAAGTCCATGAACTTGCATGCTCATCAAGGCAGTGAATTCCCCTCTTCTTCTCCAGGGTTCCCTTATTCAGACAGAGCTTAGATCCAGTATCACAAAAGCATTCAGAGCCCTCTTTCTACCTTGTAAAAAAGGACTTCAGCAGAAGTGTCTATTTTGAGACCAGCTCTTGTAGTTGATGTGTGCAAAAGGTAAACTTTAAGCTGAGCCCATCGAGTATCTCATAAAACATTTCAGGCAAGAAGCAGGGTCTGGTTATGATAATGAGTTATTTTTTCAGCTGTATAAATGGGTCTACAAAAATCAGTTGCCTCCTACAAGTCTTACTTTTCCTCGGGCTCACAGCAGTACTGTTGCCTGAAGATTAAGTTCAGCTCTATAGTTCTTATTTAATCTTGAATTTGATGTCCAGCCTCCAGTGAAAATACTTCTGCAAAAACAAATTAACAAACAAAAACCACCATGGTTAGTTATTTGTTAGTTAAATCATTAATGGAGGCTCTGAGCTACACTGTTTTTTGTTTCAGAGAAGAACAAAGAAATCATATCACCGACTGTGGTCATCTTTTCACCATCAAAGCAAGAGATTCAACAGAAGAAGAAGGCCACACTGGTATGCCTGGCCTCTGGTTTCTACCCTGATCACCTCAGTTTAGTCTGGACAAAGAATGGCAAGAAGATGACAGAAGGAGTGGGAACAGATGAGACTTCCACACTAAATGGGAGCACTTACGCATTGACCAGCAGACTGAGAATCTCAGCCCAAGAGTGGTTCAACCCTCTGAATCGTTTTGAGTGTACTGCTGAATTTTTTAAGAATGGAAGTCTGGAATTAATACATAAATTCATCTATGGTGATGCTGGTGAGTAAGACATATGTAGAGCTCACTCTCTGTTGGCTCCTTTCTCCAGGACAATTAGGCATTATTTCAAGTATGTTTCTTGGAAGTCTAGTACATTTAACTAGATCTGTCAGTAACTAGAAAACTGAGAGCAATCAAAAGAATCTGATCATGTTTTTCTCCAAATTGGCTGAAATCCCTATCATTCTCATTCCCCCACACACCCTCTATTATGAAAGGAATTGAATAAGCGCAATGAAAGATGTTCTGTTTAATATCTGACCTCAATTAATAATGCTTATTTCTTTCTTTCTGCATTTAGGCTGTTATATCTTCAGAGGTAAGTTAAGTCATTGATTTTTTTCCCTTCTTGACAATTAGTCTGTTCATTTATCCAAAAATTGCTCACTGAAAGATGTGTCTTATGTACAAGTGTCTAGACGAATACTGTGCTTGTTTTCCTGTCAGATACTTCCATTTATACTTGTGTACACAGATACAGGTACAAGTATATACATATACATTCATGTTCTTATGTATGAATGTATGAAAATTCAACTTTTGTCTGCTCTCATGAAACCTTCCATAAGACTGAAAGCCAAAACTGAACATTTTAGTATAAAGTATCACTGAGAGACACAGTTATATACCATGAAGATAAGGGCTGATTTTCTAGTGAGAAGTTAGGTCACCAACTTAACTAAGTCATTCCGCAGCATGTTGTCTCCTTAGATACTCTGCAGAATTAGAATAAACGATATTCCTATGTGAAAGACTCCAATCCAATTTCATTTTATGTCTCCCCCAAATTCTCTTTATTCGGACAATTTCCTAATCAGTTGTACCGCTATGAATGCAAAATAATAATAATAATAATATTAAAATAAAAAAGTAATAAAATAAAATAAAATAAAAGAATAGAATACAATAATAATCTTGCCTAGGAAATTTCCCAAAGAAATGTTTGGTTTTTATTTTTATTTTTCTCCCATTTCAGAAAACTATCAGAGAAGTGCTACAGCTGGGAAGTTTGTATACATAATGCTCATTTTCAAGAGCATTTTGTATGGAATATTTGTGATGGGGATGATGCTTTGGTACAAGGTGAGGATCGAAGTTCTTCCACTCTGTACGTATTTATCCTAAATCATTCTGAGAAAACTTTGGACAAAGCGAGGTCTTGCAACTGATATTTATAGAAATCTATTTCTCTTAACACAACTGAATATCTTATTGATTTTAACAGAAAAATCTAGCAAGGATGAAGGGAAGGGCTTTAGGAAAAAAAATAAGGAAATATGACAGGGAGTTATTGCAAAAGACAATTAATTAAGTATTACCAAAATGTATGGTCTCTTTAAAGACGAGAAAAAATGAAAAATAGAAATGTGAAACAACACATAAGAAAAATAAGAAAGAACTCCAAAAAGAAAAAAGAAAAAAAAGAAAGAAAGAAAATAAAAGCATAAGAGAATTTAATCTATAAGGGAAGAAGAAGGGGAAAATAAGTGGTTCTCTAAAGCTATATTTATAAACACCATTGATTTGTTGTTGAAATCAATTCTCTTCTCTTCTCTTCTCTTCTCTTCTCTTCTCTTCTCTTCTCTTCTCTTCTCTTCTCTTCTCTTCCCTCACCTTCCCTCACCTTCTCTCCCCTCCCCTCCTCTTCGCTCCTCTTCCCTCCTTGCTTGTATTTCAGTAATTCTCATCTTAATCTCTTGTTCTTTTCCTTCTTTTTTTTTTCCAGAAAATGTACTAGATACGCTTTGCCCTGAAGAGGAGGACAGGTATTATGCAAGTGGAAAGCCTCAAATCTTTATATAAAAGTTCTAATTTGCTTCAGGATCCAATAAACAAATTATATGGCAATCTCCACCTATTTTGACTTCCTTTCAAAATTACCTTCTGATAAAAGTCTATCCTTAATAAGGCTTTCTGCATTTTCCTTTAAAAGCTATGATAGCACAACAGAAATGTTTGATTTCTGCTGTTCTCTAAGAACAGAATGGGTACAGTTGACTCTACAATCGGTGATGTAGGAAAGAAGTACAACTGTGCTTTTAGAGATGAAAACTTGGTTCTCCAACCCAGGTCCTCATGACACATTTTAAAATGCATATGGCATTATAGAAGGAAAAGGAAATCTTCATATTCTCATTATGTGGAGGGAGAGAGGGAGGGTGCAGGAAGGAAGAAGTCAGATGGGGAGGGTGGGGGAGAGAAAGACAGGGAGGGAGAAGAAGAAGAAGGGAGGTAAAGGGAGCAGGGAGAGAGAGAGATGAATGGGGATGGTGAGGTAGAGGGAAAGGAAGGGCGAGGGGGAGAGAGGAAGTGGGAGGGAAGGGTGAGATGGATAGTAGAGGGTGAGGGGAGATGGGAGGAAGAGAAGGTTGGGAGTAAGAAAGTGAGTGCTGTCCCAAACAATAAATAATGAAAATAAGCAAGTATTATTTTCAAAGATAAACCACAACGCCCTTTCCCCTTCCTGGACAGTATATAAACTTGCAAACATTTAAAAAATACTGTCTTTGCTAAATGTCACTACACATATCAAACTGAACCGTTGTGCTGCACATTGTCACAGTGTGTACCTGTAGGAACAGAGAGAGCACAAAAATGAAAGTAGAACATAATTCTCAAGAACATGAGATAATTTTCCTTGGAAAAGTTAAATCATGTTTATTGTTTTTAAAATGAAAGACAGAAAGTAGGAGGAGAGGAGATTAAAATAACAACTGGGAAGAGCTGTAGGTGTCAAGCTTAAATGGGAAATATATGTCAAGGAGATTATTGTGAAGAATAAACAGTAAATCCAAGAGATTATTAATCTTTGAGAGTGCCTCTGGAGATCTTTCATCCACTTTGCATCTCATTAAAATATTAGCTTGTGGCACAACTTACACAATTAGTGATTCAGAAGAACCTCACTTGCAAATAAATGGAAAACAATGATACATTTTATTCATAGATACATCCTAAATAGGGACAGGAGTAGTGCAGGCCAATATATAGGAGTACTCATGGAATTTTGGAAGCAGAACAACTGTGAAAGTAAAAGCAAGGCAAAAGGTCTAGTAGGCAAAGAGATCCTGAGGGGATAGCCAGGGTCTTCAAGGAGAAAATAGAGCCAGGCAAAGTATCTCTGAAGGCCTCTGCAGAAAATGTTGCTTCAGGATCATCATAGAAGGGTTTGGGTTACAACACCTTAAAGGTTGTATAATTCTGATCCCTCCCTTTCATGGGTACGTAGGGGTACCTTCAAATCTCAAAGCCATGTTCAACCCAGAGATGAACAATTCCAGGGGTGGAGAATCCAGAACTTCTTTGAACAACATGTTCAAGTGCCTTACCATCTTCATAGTAAAGAGTTTCTTGCTAACATCTAATCTAAATCTCCCCTCTTTTAGTTTAAAACCATTACCCTTTGTCCCATCGCTATCAGACAGTAAAAAGTCAGTCTCCCTCCTGTTTATAATCTCCCTTCTAGTATCAGAAGGTCACTATGGAGTCTCCCAGGAGCCCTCTCTTCTCCAGGCTAAAAAAACCCACCTCCCTCAGCCTGTCTTCATAGGTGAGGTGCTATGGCCCTCTGACAATTTTTGTGACCTTGCTTTGGGGCCAACATCGTCATAATCTTTTTATATTGGGGGATGGAGTAGTGGGGAAGAATCACCTCCTTCAACCTGCTAACTACAATTCTTCTGATGCAACCCAGGATATGGCTGGTTTTTTTGGGGTGTAAACACACGTTGCCAGTTCACACCAAGTTTTTCATCAGCCTACACCCACAAGTCCATCACCTCAGAGCAGATGGTGTGCTTAAACGAGCTTGAAAACCTCTTTAAGTGAACAGCAGTTGAGTTTTAGCTAAAACAGGATGTGGTTTGACATTTACTCAAAAAGATACTTTGATAACTCATTGGCCTCTCTTACCACAGCAACACCCCAACCTCTCAGGATGAGGCATGAGGGGAGCAGCTGTCAGTTCACCATATTACAGCTGAACAGAAATAGTGACATATATGAGTCTTATGAAAGCCAATGGGTTTTTTTGTCTTGTTATCACACAATCTTGTTGTTGAAGTCTGCAGATGGCTTTTGCATGCGCAGCTGCTGTTCCTGTTGTGCAACAACCACAAAAAAACAAAGACTTGTGGGGGATTGCTGATCTGCTTCTTTTTTTTTTTTTTTTTTTTTTTTAAGAACAACAAAACAAGATAGACTTGATGAAAATTTTGATGGAAAAAGACTACAGGAGATGTCTCGATAAATATTTCTGTTCAAAACTGATCTAATTCAAAAGCTATATCACGTTCCTCAAGGCTTTGTCCAGGTGAATTCTGAATATCAAGGACAGAGATTTGGTGATGATCTCTCTGAGAAGCTTCTTCCAGTGCTGAAGCACCATCAAGGGGAAATATTTTTCTCCTTACCTCTAGTTAGTTTCTCTTACTACACATTGTTCCTACTGCCCTTTCACTGTGTCCCTCTAAAACTTCAACTCTGTTTGTATTAAGGTCTCACAGTTAGCTACGCTTTAGTCTACTCCTCTCCAAGCTGAACAAAATTAACTGCCTAAGCATAACTTCTTGTTCCCTGGGCATTCTTCTTCTCTAGCTCCCTGATCATTTTAGTAGTGTTCAGCTGACTTGTCTCCAATTTGTTGATATTTCTCTTGTACTGGGACTGTGGCACAGTAAGTTGGGGTATATGGAAAGCAGATACAGCTTTGAGATATATCTTTCAAATATCACATTGTGACAGTTGACAAATAATCGTTTTCCCTACAGCACTTACAGTATAATTTCACAAAATTCGGATTGATACAAGAATAACATCAGAATGTGGATGCTGTGTCTGTATTTATTTAATGGCTGCGTTCCACATAGGTCACACTGAAAATAATGCCATCTGTTTATTTCCATGGAAATTACAACAAATACAAAAAGCACAATAACAATAATTCAGCTACAAAGCACTATTTTTCAGCAAAGCTACCACAATCAGCTATGCATTTTCACCATGATAAAAAAGAGTTTGTATGCTTTACTCATGTAAACCTGCACCAGCAGAGGTGACCCAATGTCTCACAGCCGTCACGATGACATTGTTTCTAGCAAAAAAGGCCATTACAGTCCAACTTTCATTGTGTTAACATACACTGTTTGGTCTTCTTAATAGATAATAGGTCCCTTCCAACCCAAACCATTTTAGGACTCTATAAATTTTAATAGGTGCAATTTTTTTCCTAATGAAGGAATTCAATTCCATACTGTTGCTTCATATGTACTTTCATGTCAGATAACATTTTGTCAGACTGCCTCTTTGCTGCCATCTGTGACAGGGAAAAAAATATAATGGAACACAGGCAGGAAGGTTTAACCTCTACCACTAATTTTCACTCTGATGTAGCGGAACAACATATTAAAACAGGAAAAATTATTTTCAGAGTAGCTATCATACATCCCTTATTTAAGCCCTTTGAAAACTTCAGACTGGAAATAGAATATTCTTATTATTTATTCCGGGACAATCAAAATTGCAGTTGGATTTTATGGTATATCACAAGAGCTTTGCTTGGTGCTTTCTTGCTTGTAAAAATTTAGGAATTCATCATTGAATGCTTACACCTCATCAGCAATAAACAGCATTAAGGACACAGAGAGAGGCGTACTGCTTTAGGATACTTAACAAGAAAGACACTGATAGGTATTTGTGTGTGTTTTTACATTGTGCATGTATGAAACATTCCATCAAGAAGAAATCACACAGTAAATAAAATCACATTCACATCCTACTTGTTCCTCCTTCTACTTTTTTTGTCTTCAAAATACAGACATTTAAGACTTGCTCAAAATCAAAGAGAACTTTGAGAACTTGCAAGAAGAAACATCACAAGGTTGCCTGAAATGTACTCATAACTCATCCATGGATGAAAGGGGCAACTAAATGAACATAGATTGTCTTACAGCTTATCTGGCTGTGGAAAAAGGCATAGGTATGATGCATAAATGAATAGACATAGGACATGTAAAACATATGCAGCAGCTGCATAGTAAAAACAATTTCTGAATAAAAATAGATCTATATTTTTCTTGATTATGATGTCATTTTAGGTTGCATACTACTTTATGCCACTTCCCTTTACTCTTTTTATCCACCATGTATGCATATAACTTACCAGGACTGTAATGGCTTATCTGTAACATAACAGTTCTATTTAGCTTCTTTTTGTCATCTTTTGTCCAGTTTTCTCACCGCTTTTGGTGGCTCTAGATCTATTGAAGTTCTTGAGATTAGAATAACCTTTCCAGACACAGTCAATAGCACAGTGGCTTCAACACACAGATACTACAATTAACTGTTCTGTATCAGGGAAGAAAGAGGTCTGCGGAATAGTAATTTAGCCATATGTATGCTACAGTACTTCCATTTCCTTTCTTTTATGTCTGGATTTAATTAATCACCTTTAAGGATTGTTATGACTGATAGAAGATGAACTGCTGATCAGAAAAGAGGAATTCAGCAATGAAAGGGAACATCTCCTGGACCAGCTCCTCAGCAGCCTATGTTTTGTGAATAGCCACTTCACCTACATACCGCTATCCTGGGAGTGCTGAGAGCTACTCCCTTCTGAGGGAAGGTACTGGAGAGGAGTTTATGTACAGAAAGCAAGTGACTTTGAAGTGTTGTGTCCAAACTTGAGGCACAGAAGTAGATAGCTGAATGGTTCTTCTTTACAGACATGATATCTAAACGAACGTACTGTTGGCTTAGCCGCTTAGCTTCGTATCCCATGTGAATATCACCCTTATTTTCCTGATTTGCTCCGAATGAATAATAGATTAATTGCAGCCCCTTCCCTGGCTGCTGCAGATA